TGTTATTGTTATAAAGATAACGGGATGAATCCTTTCCCATGAGAAAGAAAATCCTGACAGTTTTGGCAAAAGGCCTAGGCAATGATGGTCCTGCTGGTGGCTACTGTGAGCATTCCTAGACCCTTTCAGACTGTTTAGGGTCTGCTCAGGTCCACCAATGCAACTGGGAAAGATGACCAGCAAAAATTTTTCTAAGCTTCTCCAGTCTTATGGCCCAGTCTTAGGGCTGTTGTTGGGGAAAGAAGTCAGCCTAAGACAGAACCTGGGACCAAGCTTTGTGGACGCAGAGGAAGGCTTGTTTAGTACTAGGAAAGGGAGAGGCCAATGTTGTGTTGAAGTTCCCCACTGAGGTCCAGCTTTTGGGTCATGGGTAAGAAAAAAATCCTGTGGGGAGAACTCTGCAGAGAATGCAGCAGCTGTGGGCACCAACAGTGGAGTGCAGTTAGTGAAGGGCATACCAGGAGTACATCCTTCTTCCTGTCTCCTGATCAGAGCTGGCGTTCCACCCACCTTCATGTCTGGAACTGTACTTCCTCACTGGCCAAATTTGCCAGGCTTTGCTGAGAAATGCACAGCTGTTCCTTCCCGCCTCTGCTCTTTCCCAAAGCAGCCATTCTCTCACATCCAACAGCTGTAGGTTGAAAGGAGTCCCAAGTGATGCTTGTCTCACATCTCCTGCCCTTGTGTCCCCATTCTTTAAAGGAAGCCATTGGGAGGAGTATAAAGTGCCTCTGGAGCAACAAGCTGTGGTGGTGGTGAAATTTGTGGCTGCCCTTGGAAGTGTGAATGCTGAGTTATCTGGTTTGGGTGCACAAATGCATACTTGGGTCCCTGCCAGACTTCTCCACTCTGCCTGGATAAAGCAACAACCAGCTTTCCTAGACAGAGTGAGTGTGAACCACGAGAGGGTTGCAACTCTTCACAAAAAGGCCTGCCTGCAACACAGATTGCTGAAAAATAACAATACAATCATAAAAATAATTTTAAAAAAGCTTTCAGATATCTAGGACTTACTATTCTGAGGCAGGCAGGAAACCACTGAAAAAAGTCTCTAATCAGGCCAGAGGACTGCTAATGCAATTCTGCACTTTACAGGGAACCGTCTCATGTATATGCTGCCTAGGTTTCCTTCTATAAAGTTGTGAGACTTATCAGAGTGGTCCAAAGTAAGCATTTAAGATCTATTCTCCAAGTGCCTCAAGTGTCCAGTTCCTGTTGTAGACTGGAATCAGATTTGCTCTACAGGGGCTTACATCTAGGCTAAATTGATCTTTGCAGAAGATCTTTGGCTGCTTTACCATTCTGGAATGATTTTCACAGCATTGAAAGGCATTAAGCTAGATCTTATTAATTTAATATAGGCAGAGCCTCAGGGAGCCAATACAAAGCTAAAATGGTGTGTTTTTAAACTGACCTTCACAGAGCACGATCTCCCCTTATTACAGGAGTGGTATCTTGAGTGCATCACATCAAAGAGCTTTGCCTCTGATAAATTTAACTTTCTTCCTTCTGTGCTGATGGGAAATACACCAATACCTTAATATAAGACTGAATTTCCCCACCAGGCAGCCTACTGTTAAACTGCTCTGGCTGGTCGGATGAGGAGAAAACTCATCTTTTTTGGCTGATGTATCTCCTGAAGTGCCTAGGAAGGTAGCCAGGTTCTGTGCAATTATCAGGAGTTTAACCGTTTAGCCTTCAGCTGCTACCTATCAAATGCCCACTATGTTTCTTTTTCCAATCCTATGATTAAAATTAGCTTTTCAGCTAATGCAAGACAAATATCTTGTTTTACTGTTGCATCATTTTATTTCTCTTTCCTGATTGTATTTAATTCCTTATAGTGTTTTATTTCTGCCATCTATATTTATGTCTCTGACCACAAAGACTAGATAGAATAGGCTGGAGCCTTCAACTAAATACGAAAATAAATTCCTGTCAGTAAGAACAATTTGGAAAGGGAGGAACGTGGTTGTCTCTGCGTGGAGGTCTGCAGATAGAACTGAAGAACCATCTTCTAGGGCAGTGTTTCTCAACCTTGGCAACTTGAAGATGTGTGGACTTCAACTCCCAGAATTTCCCCGACCCCCTTGCTGGGGGATTACTGGAGGTGGAGGCCCCACATCTTTCAACTCTCAACGGGTTGAAAAACATTT